GTTAATTTCTGATCCAGCAAATACTTTAAAGACTGATGGTCAGTCCGTATATGAAATGATAGCCTACTAGGTAATGCCTCTACTTTGTCACTGCCATCACTAGTGCTAGTAGCTCCTTTTCATATGCAGACAACCCCAAGTTCCTTGGACTCAATGATTTGCTAAGGAAAGCTATGGGATGCCCCTCCTGCATGAGTACAGCTCCAATGCCTCCTCCACTTGCATCGTCTCCACCATGAATGGTTGCTTAAAGTCAGGCAACTTAAGGACTGGAGCTGATGTCATTACCTTCTTGAGTAGATCAAATGCTTGCTGAGCTGAGTCAGTCCAGGTAAATGCATCCTTCTTAAGCAGATCTGTCATTGGTTTACACAAGATGCCATAGTTCTTAATAAATCTTCTGTAGTAGCCTGTGAGCCCCAAGAATCCTCTCAACTCCTTCACTGACTTAGGTGTTGCCATGTTAGAATGCTGTCAACCTTGGAAGAGTCCATACTAACTCCTTCTTCTGCAATGGTATGTCCCAAGTATTCCACTCGAGTTTGTGCAAATGAGCACTTGGACTTCTTTGCAAACAACTGGTTTTCCCTGAGCACCTTCAGTACTATCCCCAGGTGTTGCAGGTGTGATTCCCATGTCTTACTGTATATCAGTATATCATCAAAAAAGACTAGAACGAACTTCCTCAAATAGGGTTGAAACACTTGATTCATCAAGGACTGAAAAGTTGCAGGTGCGTTAGTCAGTCCAAAAGGCATGACTAAGAATTCGTAGTGTCCACAATGGGTCTGAAATGCTGTTTTGTACACATCTTGAGGCTTGACCCTTATCTGGTGATAGCCTGCTGTTAGGTCCAGCTTAGTCTTGAACTTGGATCCAGCTAATTCATTCAAGAGTTCATCCACATTTGGAATGGGGTAACAGTCTTTGATGGTGATCTCATTGAGTTTCCTGTAGTCAACACAGAATCACCAAGTCCCCTCCTTCTTCTTGACTAGAAGGACTGGTGATGTGAATGGACTGTTGCTGTGCCTTGCAATTCCATGGTTTAACATCTCTGTGACTTGCCTTTCGATTTCATCCTTTTGAGAATGGGGGTACCTGTATGGTTTTAGCTTGAAGGGTTGTGCTCCTGATTTCAATGGGATCTCATGATCACAAGTCCTGACAGGTGGCAAAGATACAGGCTGCTGGAACACATCTGCATACTCTTCCAACAAGGCTTTAATCTCCTGAGGTTGCTGCTCCTCTGTGATATCTGTTGAAGTTGATGCTGTCTCTAAGGTTCTCATAGCATAACACCTCTTCTTATATTCTATAAAGTGCCTCAGATCCTTGCCTCTGATCAAATCTAACTCACAGTCTTCAGAACTCCCCTGCAGCTGCACTACTTCCCCTTCATACTCCATAGAAATCCTGAGGTTATGGAAGTCAAACGTGATGGGACTAAAATGAGTCATCCAGTCCACTCCCAGAACAATGTGCCAACCACTCAGTTCCATCACCTTTAAGTCAAAACCAAATTTATGCTGGTTGACCTCCCACCTGACCCTAGGACATATAGCCTTGCTAGTTACACAAGCTCCATTGCCCACAATGACAGAAAAGGGTGATACCATTCTGTAAGGTATGTCTAAGGCAATAACTAATTCACTGTCAATGTAGCTATCAGAGCTACCTGTGTCGACTAGGATCAGCACTTCCTCTCCATCCAATTGTCCTGTTATTGTAATAGTTTTCCTTTTAAGAGATTCTGACAGTGCGTGTAAAGACATTTCTATGACAGATCCTGGATTTCCAGTATGCTCATCCTGCTCCCCAACTGCATCCTCAAATTCCGACTCTTCCTCCTCTTCCCCCAGGAAAAAATTTAAGTGTCCTATCTTACACTGATGTCCTGCCCCATACTTTTCCCCACACTTGAAGCACAATCCATTGTTCCTCCTATATTGTATTTCTTGGGCAGAAACCTTCCTTGCATTAAAGTGTCTATGGTGGCTGACAGGGGGAACTTTGTACAAATTCGCTGTTGTTGAGCTTGAGAGTTGGCTTTTCTGCATTCCAAATTTATTTTCTACAACATTTCTCTGCATCTCTTTCCCCTGTCTGCTCTGTAATTGCAGGGAATATTCCTGTAATTGAGCCATCTCATAGGCAGCAGACAACTCTGTAGGTTTTAGCATTCTGATCATAGGCTTGATTTCTTCCTTGAGTTCGCTAATAAAACTCGATACAAAATATCCTTCATCTAACTGAGGATTTTTCATCAGCATCAGAGGTTTGAGTTCCTCAAATTTCTCCTGGTAATTTTCCACACTCCCCACCTGTTGAATCTTGTTGAAATCTTCCACTATATCCCTGCAAATTTTGTTACAGAATCTTTTGCATAGTAATTCCTCAAATTCCTTCCATCTTACGCCAGATTTTTCCATTTTTAGTCCTTGAAACCACCTATCTGCTTTCCCTTCCAGAAACATTTCAACTACATCTACCTTCTGATTTTCAGGTACTTGATAATTCAGAAAGTATTTATTACATTTTCTCAGCCATTCTTGTGGATTTTCCCCATAAAAAAGAGGTAGCTCTAATTTTGGAGGATTAGGTATATAGATCCTACCTTCTTCTCTTCGGATGAAACCTCCACTGTTCTCGACTTCTTTGTTGATTCGTTGCTGATGTGGTGGCATTGGCAGCAGTGGCCTCTCCCTTGCTTCCTCCACTGGATTTTTCTCTCTGTTCATTATCATCTGTAGGAAAGAGTTGAATTTCTGCTCTAGTTCAACCATTGATGCTTCCAGCTTTTCCAGTTTGATGTTGGAATTCTCCATTTCCACTCTGATTTCGCCGCCAATTTCAACTCGAAGTTGCTGTTGAGAAATATGGAATGTCTCCATAGCTTCCTGTAGCCGCGCTTCTTGTTTCTTGACGCATTCTTCCAAGGATTTCAGGCGAGTTCCTTCCGTCATTTGTAATTCCAAGGATCGATCGCTCTGATTACCAATTTGTCAGGACCTGGTTGAAGAGATTTTGGACGGATTGGGAGGGAAATTAGAAAGAGGGAAAAATTGAGAGAGAATTGAGAGAAGAGAGAGAAATTGTGTTTTCATTAACAGAAAGTAGTTACAAAATCCATACCCCAGCCAATCACGAGCTCTCTTATTTATAACCTGTCCAGATTACTAACTAACTACTCTAACTAACTTCTTAAGTCTAACGACACCGTTTTCTGTCATTTCATAACCTTGGCCCAAACGACGACGTCTTCCTTCAGCTTCCTGACACGGTTAGCGGGATAGAACCCAGTTCTGCCGAGGTTGGCGGGATAAAACCCAGCTCCAACGTGCACTTTGCGATGTTGGCGGCACCAAGTCCAGGCCCAACGTGCTTTTTGTGAAATTGGCGGCACCAAGTCCAGGCCCAACGTGATCTTGTGAACAAGAAATTGAATTTGATTTGTCAAGAAGCAAGAAGTTAAACTTGAGTTTTTTGATTTTTGACCTTTCTGATGATGATTTTTTTATTTTTCTGATTTTTTTTTCTTTTGATTTTTTCCTTCCTTTCGGATTTTTCCGAGATAATTTTTTCAAAATAATTTGCCCCTGTGTCGGGTCCATTTTTCCCTCTTTCTTCTTGCTTCTCTTTGCAGTATCGGCCTTCCGCCTCACTGGATGCTTTTCATCATTTTGAACCATGAATATCTGCACAGGGGGGCTTAACAAAGCATGACATGCACTTAAATTCCATGAAAAGAGGAGCGGGATTGATTCGAAAAATGTTATTATTTGATTTTTGGATAAAAATCTCAAATGTATTACAAAACATTTGCCCCAGTATGGGCTTATTTCATGAAATCTCACAAATAAAATTTTTGCCCCAGTGTGGGCTCCCTTGATTGCAAAAATTTATTCAGATGATTTCCCATTTATTTGAACAAAGAAAAACCGCACTTTCTAAAATTTAGAAAAGAATGCACATATACAACAATGTGAAGAAACTTTAAACGTCAAGTTTAAACTCATGCAGAAATTTCATGATGAATTTCTCGAAGTAACACCAAATTCAAGAAGATTTCTTCCTCACTTTTAGCATTGGTGCTTAGGGTAACGGGTCACCATTTCCAGTTGGCTCATCTTCAGGACCAATCAAGTGACTTTATTTCTGATTTTGAGGTGGCCAAGGAAAATGAGAAGTCAAGATTTGTCTGGTTCTTGTGCCCAAATTGTATGTAATCCCTTCAATACCACCTCTTAGTGAAAGCAAAGAGTTTGTCACCCTTATTTCTTAAGAAAACTTAGTCAACATATGAGCTTTATAGGCTTGCAACAAAATGAGTAGAAGTGATAGCTAAACCTGTGAAAACTGGTTATACCCCCATGATTACAAATGATTGATGGATTTCTTACGAGCATAATCCTCACTTTGGATTGTCATGAAGGAATAAGTCAACGATGGACTTTGTTAGCTTGTAATGTAGCTTGAAAACGATAGTTAAAGAATAAAACTTTCAAGTACATTGCACCGAAGATCGCATTTTTCAAAATTGCCCCTATTTTGAACTCAAAGATCTCAGACTTTGTTTGCATTTTTCTCATCACTCACCAGGGACTTCAGTGTCGAATTTTTTCCTGCATTTTCTTGCATTTACTTTTCTTGCTTTGCTTTTTACCTCTTTTCCTTTCCCTCAACTTGGTGGGTTTTCACATGGTGAGTAGCGTCAACCCCATACCCAGGCAATTCAGAAATACAGCTAAAATTTTGCGGCATTAGAAATTTTCTTGACAAGACCATTGCAAAGAACAGAAGTCAGGACTTTCGACTTTTGTAATGGGTTCAGGTGGGGTGCTTAGAAAAGTTAAGGGTTGAAGGTAGATTTCAAGAGTGGTTTTTTTTTTTTTTAAACTGCCAATCATATCTGGCAGACGGGCACTACGCCCTTTTATTAATAAACAACCAAAGAACAAGGAGCTAAAGCACAAAAACAAAAAGCCAACGAGCCAAACCTATCTTCGAAGCGAGAAACGGAAATTGGGAACCTGCTCCCTATCTAAAACAAAGAGGGACCTAGACAAGCGTGGAAGAGAAGACAAAGTGGGATAATCCAAGTGCCCGCTACAAGCAACGCCCACAGCAGCCAAAGAGTCAGCAACCGTATTCGCCTCCCGGAAACAGTGGGAGAGACGAACCCCCAACGGCAAAATTGCTCGAATCGCTCTAATCAGCGGCCGTACTGCCCACGGAATCGAAAAACTCCCTGCCACCACAAGAACCAAAACCTGCGAGTCAGACTCAACTTGGACCATGGAGAAACCCATCTGCTGGCACAGTTGGAGTCCATGAAGCATTGCATACGCCTCCGCCTGCAAAGAGTCTACCAGCGGTAATTTGGCCGCAAACGCTCCAAGGAACGATCCATCGGACCGTCAGAGAATCCCACCAATACCACTAGCACCGGCCGTAGATGAGGAAGACCCGTCAGTATTAAGCTTGACAAACCCATTCTGCGGGAATTCCCAACTAACCAAAGTAGAACTTAAGGGGCGCTGGATCCCCCAGATGACGGACACAAGTCCCCCAAATTCAGGCGGAAGTGAACCCCCAGGAAACTTGACAGAACAAATAAGCCAAAGCTCATGAGATATAGAGTAACACAGGGTTTGGACAGACCACTTAATGCCATCGAAGCGCCATTTATTCGAAGCCTTCCACAAAAACCAAAGAATGATCAATGACAAAATCCTGTACAACCACCGAATCGACATCGTACTCACAGGTTGAGACCACCAGGTCATACATCTAGTCCGATAGCCGCAATAAGCCATCGGAATCCCCAACCGACACTCAAAAAATGACCAGACAGCCTGGGCCACCAGGCAGGAGGAAAACAAATGATCAGCCGTCTCTTGAGCAGCCAAGCACAACGGGCACTGGGAGGGCCCCGCAAACCGGCACCGAGTACGTAACACATCATCCAAAGGCAACCTACTGGAAAACAACCGCCATGCAAAACAAGAAACCTTAAGTGGAATGGAGGAATCCCACAGCGACCGAAAGACCAGAGACTTCACTCCAGCCCGACGGACCAGCGGGTAAGCCGAGGCCGTGGAGAAAAAGCCCGAGGATGCCAACTGCCAACAAGGCTGATCTGGCAGATCCCCAAAACACATAAAAGTCTCCCCCATCACCTCCAAAATCTCTGTAGGAAGGAAAGACGAGAGACGAACCCAATCCCAACTCCCCTGAACACAAAAGTCACTAACCTTCTGGTCGGAAGAAAGGTCTAGAAACTGCCAGCCAAGGGGGCCCAAACCGCTCCAATTATCCCACCAGAAATAACAATCTCCCAGACAAACGTCCCAACGGATCTGTAATTCCATCTGCTCACAAACTTGGAACAACCGCCGACAGATCGCCGAACGCGACGGACCAACCACCACTTGATTAGGATGACCTCCCCGAAGGTACAAACTAGACAAAAACCTCGCCCACAGAGAGTCCTGTTGACGAAAGCGCCACCACAATTTACAAGAGAAGGCCTTAGAAATAGACTGCAAAGATCTAACCCCTAGGCCCCCTCCTCCACAGGGAAACACACCTTAGACCAACCACACCAGTGAAAATGGTTATCCCCCCAAAAAAACAGCACAAACATCCTCTCAATCTCCCAAATTGCCCCTCGAGTGGGCTCCAAGACTGCAAGCAAGTGAACTGGAATGGACGTAAGCACATGCCGAATAAGAATTAGCCGCGGCCCCATGGAAAGCCACCGATTCTGCCAGGACAGCAAACGAGCCTGAACTTTATATATGATCCCAGCAAACAAGGACTTAGATCGCCGACCCTCATACAAGGGGCACCCCAAATACGTGATTGGCAAAGACTTACGAGCAAAACCCGTTTCCTCCGCAACCCTCCGACTGCGAAGACCAAAAACCTTCTTAGAGAGTAAACAACAACTCTTCGAGACATTAACCAGCTGACCAGACACTCGCTGATAATCAATTAAAACACCCATGACTTTCCGCACCGAAACCCACCCCCCATTGCAAAAGACTATAACGTCGTCCGCATACCCCAGATGCACAGGGGGGGACCCTCCTGAAGGAACCGAATAAGGGATGAAACCACTACAGAGTGAAAGAGACAGGAACTCCGCCATAATGATGAAAAGCGCTGGAGACAGCGGATCACCCTGCCGCAAACCCCTAGTGGACCTGAAAAACCCGACCGGACCACCATTGATCAACACTGAAAAATGACAGGAGGAAACCAAACGCCAAACCATGTCCAACCAAACCTCACCAAACCCGAATTTCCGCATAACAGATAGCAGAAACATCCACGATACCCTGTCATAGGCTTTGGCCATGTCCAGTTTCAAAACCACATTAGAACCCCGGACCTTTCTCCCAATCCTAGAAATCATCTCCTGAGCAAGCAAAATGTTATCAGAATGGCCCTTCCCTTAACAAAACCACTTTACTGAGAGGAAATGAGTCGGGGTAGAACTTTCTCCAGCCGAGCCGCAAGAATCTTGGAAATAATCTTGTTCGAGAAATTACAGAGACTAATCGGCCTAAAATCAGCAAAGGTCTTAGGGGCCGACTGTTTAGGAATCAAGGCCAACAAAGTGGCCGAAATTCCACACGGGAGATCCGCACCAACAAAGAAATCCGCGACTGCATCTGAGAGGTCCCCTCCTATAATATCCCAGCAAGCCTGATAAAAGGACCCTGGGAACCCGTCCGGGCCTGAGCAACTGTCCCTATCCAAAGAGAAGACCGCCCCTCGAACCTCCTCAGCAGTAGGAAGCCGTTCCAAATCCAGATTATCATCCTCTGACAAAATTGTCGGGATTCGAGACAATTTATCCCCCGTCACCTGATCCAGTGGCCCCTGGGTAAACAAGTCAGAGAAGAAAGTCTCCGCCATCGCATGAATAGAACCTACATCATCAGTCCACGCACCAGAGGAAGTCTGAAGCCGATGAATACGAACCTTCACCCTGCGTTGACGTACATAAGAGTGAAAAAACTTAGAATTGGCATCTCCCTCCTTCAGCCAACGTAACCTCGATTTCTGCCGCCAGAAGATGGCCTGACGCAACAAAGCTTCCTTCAAGACTGACGAAGCCTGCACCAGCCGCAAGTCCACCTCCGGGGATGGTCGGGCCGCCGCCTCAGCCTCCAACTGAGCAACCTCCTCCTCGGCCTGTTTTAAGGCATCGAACACGTTACCGAAAACATTTTTGTTCCAAACAGTCAAAGCCGCCTTAACCGCCTTCAACTTATACAAGAAGCGTCGCATCGGTCGGCCAGTGCTACCAGAGAGCCAGGCCTCCTGAACAACGCCCTTAAAACTAGCATGCCGAAGCCAAACATCTTGGAACCGGAAGCTCCTCGGAGATGACGAGCTTGAAATCAAGTAAGAAACCAGCAACGAAGAATGATCAGAAGCAGTGCACGCCAAGTGATGAACCAAAGGCACCACACCACTACCCAACCAGCCGCAATCAACCAGGACTCGATCCAACCGCTTCCAGACCCGCGCCCTACCCTGACGATTATTACACCACGTAAACAGGTTCCCAGAGAATCCCACATCTGTTAAGTCCAAATCCTGAATGAAAGCATGGAAGTCCTCCGACTCAGCCCTGCGAAAAGGCCGACCTCCTCTCTTCTCCTCCGCATACAAGATTACATTAAAGTCACCATGAAAGAGAAGAGGAAGACCCAACACCTGCAAAGCACATAAGCCCGCCCAAAGCTCGCGGCGGTCACTGACTGAGCAGGCCGCATGCACAAAGACCCCAACCACCTCAATACTCATCTGAGAGTGCGTCACGCGGAGGGCCAAATACTGAGAAGATTGACCCACAATAGAGCAAGAAAATTCACTAGAGTGAAAAACAACAAGGCGGCCATCATTGGTAGGACAACAACCATCAAAGCCCAACCTCTGGCGAATCCAATCAAAACGAGAAGCATCCATTTTGGGTTCACAAACCCCTAACAAGGAAAATTTATGCAATAGACGCAACTTACGTAAACGAGCTATAGTGATGGAGTTATCTAAACCCCGAACATTCCAAAACAATGACTTAAACATCACGTAAAGGAAAAGAAGAAGAGTGAGGGGGAAAACCTGGCGGGGCAGCGACCACCCCAGGCTGTCTCTGTTTCAAGTCGCCACGCCGGCGTTTAAGCGCCTCCATGGCCGCCAAGGGAGGAGCAGCTTTGCGTGGAGAAAGATTCAATTCTAATATTGCAACCTGCTCCTGCTGCATGTGCACCGACGAAGCGGTCTCGTCATCAACCGCCTCCGCAGCCACTTTGTCGGCAAGGTCATCAAAGATCGCCTCTGCAGCCGAGGCAATAGCGTCATCCACCAGCTGCTCCACCACTGCACCAGGCTCCTGCTGCCCTGCGGTAGGAAGCAGCGACAAAGGGACCGCTGCCTCCTCCACCCCATCCTAGTGTTTGTCATCCGAAGCCTCCTCCACAACTACATCATCCAGGTCTAACGGAGTCCCCTTGTGAGTGGCCTGCATCCCCAGAAGGGCCGAGACTCCCCGCCCATCCCCCGCAGTCGGGGATGCTGCCTCCACTGGCTCAGCAGCCTGGGCACTCGACCCAAGCCCAGGCACCGCATCAGGCCCAAGAACCACCCCCGACACTCTGTGCTTCTCGCCCACAAGCGCAGGCGCAACCAATTCCCCCGTCGCCGCTACCTTCTCACCCGCCACAGCCGCAGCTGGCGGCCTTCCCTTGCGTCGTCCCTGAGGCTGCGCCTCCCCAGTGGGCCGAGCCTGGGCCGTCAACTCCGGATGAAGCATCACGCAGTCATCCTTGCTATGCCCCTGTCGAAAGCACCCAGAACAGTAGGCCGGTAGATGCTCAATATCAAGATTCTGCCAGAACCCCTCCTGTCCGCCATTCCCAATCCAAACCCGGGACACTAACGGCTTCAAGAGATCAACCTCTACGCAAACCCTAGCCATGCTGGGACGGGACAAGGCTGCGGTAGCAGCATCAACGTAGAGCGGCACGCCAAACGTAGCAACAATCTGAAACAAGCACTCTTGATTGAAAAGATGAATGGGAAGTTTGGGCAAAGACACCCTCACCGGAACCACAGACGGATCCCGGTCCACATGAAATGAACGCGTCCACTTGAACAGCTTCATTGGCTGCCCCTAAACATACCAGACCCCACGAAGCCATAAACGATGATAATCCCTCTCATCTGCAACCCTGATGAGAATGTGACGGGGATCGAGCAGCCCAACAGAGACAGGCTACTTGAGATTAAGCGTGACGAAAAATTTACGAACCAGCTCCAGTGAAGGTCGACCCCGAGCAAACTTCCCAACCAGCGCATATCGAAAGGGGTCGGACAGCTTGTGTATCACCTCCTGTGAAAAGATCAAAGCAGGCTCTCCACGGTGTGTAGAGGCCGTCGCTTGAACCGAGAAGGCTGGCGCAGTAGGACTCATGAACAGGTCCGAAAAGGACTGCTGGATCTTCGCAGGTAGAGGCTGCCCCCCAACACCCGGGTGGGGGGCCTCCGAGGAAGCCATGCAAACCCTAAAAAAAACCTAGCCTGGAGACTAAAGAAGAGAGAGAAAAAGTCTTTTTACCATTCTACTTATCTTTAAAGTGGTGCATTTCAAGAGTGATTTAAGTAATCTGAGATCGCATTGTTGTGCCAACCCTATTTTAGGGTTAAATCAAGACTTGCCCCAGAGTTTATGCTCAATTGAGGCTTTTTCTCTTTCATTTTCTTTCTTTTTTTTTGATTTTTCGGCCTTTTGCCATTCTTTGAAATTTTCAAAATTTGCCCCAGTTTATTTGTGAACTAAGGTTCTCATTTCTTCTTTTGTCTTTTGATTTTGTGGCTTTTCACTTTTCACTTCTTGAAATTTTCCTTTTCAACTCAAACTTGCCCCAGTGTGGGGTTTGCGATTCTCAGGGGTTGCCAAATGAAGTATTTTATTCTGAAGGCTCAAAAGGGATAACTAGGGATAGAATGCTTGATCGGAAAAGAAGAGGGTCTGACTTTTAATCCGTTCCTTACAATAACTCTGAAAGGAAACTTTCATTAATGCGAAATTTCTTGCATGTATCTGAATTAATTGACTGAGGAAGACTCTTGCTCATTCATATCTATGAAACATAAGTGATCCGCCGGACATAACTGGTCCTTTTTCCTCTTTTCTTTTCTTTTCAAAATTGAAACCCAGGTAGAATCAAATTTCCCCAATTCGCGGTTCCCTTCTTATTCTAGCATTTTTGCTTTTCCCTTTTCCTTTTTTCTTTTTCAAAATTCCCCAATGTGGGGTGCGATCATATGTGCACTCGAAAAGAACCACCAATTTTTAGCTCAAATGAGGATGCAAGGGATGATCAGTGTTTAGGTTGTAGAAACGATGGCCAAAGTATCATTCTTACGCCTCATGACAACCAAAGTAATGAAATGGTCATTGAAAATTCATTCCCTTTTTGATATTTGAAAATTTTCCAATATAGGGTAGTGATCATTAGGGCTCTTATTTGAAATGAAATTATTCTTTCAAAGGCTCAAATGGGAAAGCAAATGATAAAAATGTGTATAGGTAGAGAAACGAATGCTCAAAGTATCATTCCAAATTTTCAAAACAAAACAAGAATAATGCACATTTTTGCCTTCACTTAGATGTGAATTGAATGTGATTAGACACAGTGAACATTTCTCAAGCAAAGATTGCCCCAATTTGCAATTTATCAATCAATGTGACTGATTTTATTTTGGGGTTAAGTGAATGGGCAAAATACGAATTGTACAGTGAATTGTACAGTGAAGGAGAAAAGATATCTCATGAGGCCTTTTGAGTGACCATTCACCTTTTTTCTGAGCACTCTTATTGTATAGCTCGGATCACCAACCTAGTGTACATGAGGATTTTAAAAAGTGTACACTTATGAAATTCAGGCTAGAGGTTGAAAAAACCTCAATTTGGTCTTATTTCTCAAAATTCATCATGAACTCTCCAAGGAGTAAGAATAAAGAATGAAATATACATAAATATACACAAAACAAAAATTGTCCAAAAATTTTATTGCTGAAAAAGTTTGAAACAAAATTTCTCATTCAATTATGATACAAATGAGAAGAGAGAAACTTGTAAAGAGCTTCACATATACACTTTTGCCTCCTTTTCTTTTGGAACAAAATGTACTAACAAATCAAATAAACAGAATTTTCTTTTGGAAAACAATTATAAAATCTCTCAGAGGTTTTAGCGTAGAGCTTCCAGATAGATCATTTATGTTTTCATTGTAGGATCTGCCCAAAAATCACACAATACTTGCAATTTTGACACTTTATTAGATCCAAATTATCATCAGATATAGAAAAATATTTTCACCTTATTGAAGCATTTTTTTTTATGAATGCAGGGAAGGGGGAAAACAAAAGAAAAATACCCTGAGTTAGTAAATAAGAATATAAAATCGGTATGCATGTCCTATGGGAGAACCCTTTTATGCCAAGGGTAGGCCTAGCATGAAAATGCAATCCTCCAGAGCAGGCACTATACAATACCTGATGGATCCGATCAACTCATTGAGTGAAAAATAATTTTGAAGAATTTGGTCAATTGGAGAGACAAAAGACATTTGTCAAAATAAGGACAATGTCCGAATGAATTGATCACAAATGCACGGGTTTGACCTTGATGAACTTCCTATCGAAGAGATTGGAATTCGTTTGACAAAATTTTTCCTCAGTGAAGCACGGGTCCAAACCCCAACTGATCAAATGGCTGGATGCAATGGATGGTTTTTTCAAAAATCGACTAAGTTTCCCAATTTGAAATTCGACATTGAAACCCTAATTGGTCAAACGGGTTGAATGAAAATGACAATTTATTTAAAATCAACCAAATTACCCTAAAAAGGGAAACTAGTCAAATGAATTGAGTGAAATTTAAAAACTTACTCAAAATTGATCGAATCATCCTAAAAGAAATTGGTCAAATGAAATTGAGAATTTTATTCAAAATGGACCGGATCATCCTAAAAATTGAAATTGATCAAATGAATTGAATGAAATCGAGAACTCATTCAAAATTGACCAGATCGCCCTAAAAGGGTAAATTGGTCAAATGAATCGGACGAAATTGTTGATTTATCGAAAATCGACAAAATTGCCCTAACTAATCAAATGAATTGAATGAAATTGGTGATCTTATTCAAAAATCGACTAGATTGCCCTAAAAATGAACAAATTGATAAAATGGACTGGATGTAATTGGTGAATAAAATAGTCCAGTTGATTGAATGGAATTGACGGCTTATTGCGATGCATTAGTCCATGAGCCTTCTAAAATCAAATTTTGGCCTTAATTTATTTATCGTTTCAATAGCGAGAAATTATTTGTGAATTTCTTCAAATTAATGTCCTTTGCGCAAGGGATTTTTACCAACTTTGATAAAATGGCCAAAAAGTGATTATTAGACGCTCATATTCCAAAAATCGCTCTTATGAAGACGATCGGATCCTCCCTTACCTTGTGCACTACCCCTTTGGATGGTACAAAATGTAAACGTGCAAGTCTCTTTGGATTAAGTATCCGAGACATAAGGTGGCTTATTCCTAACACGGGATCCCCTAAACTGCATTCCCTTTCTAGGGTTTATGCGTGATGCCATTTATTAAAGCGATGTAAATATGCAATTTGAAATGAAACGTGACCTAAGGAACCCTTTATTTGCCAGGATAGGCCTAAAATGGTATGGCATTATTAATTTATGAACAAAATATACCACAATTTTCAAACGTGCAATAGCCTATCTACAAGGGTAGGTCCTAAAAGGAGGTCATGCCAGACCTCTTATTTCCTAACGTTTGTGAATGCAAAAGATAAGAAACAAGGAAACGTTAGTTCATAACACATAATCACATAACACGTTGGACAATTAAAAAGCAACAAAGATATATAAGGAAAGGGGGTGGGATCCCTCCCCTCGTGAATGGTGTTCCTAATTTAGGGTGAGGTCGACTCTACCCTAGGCAATTCTAATATGGATGCATGAGGCTGGGGTTCGCTAATGCATCTAGACTCGATAAGCTCAGGTCCCCGAGCCTTCAGACTTGGAAACCAAAGGTCATCACTCCCAAGGTTCCTTGTCGGTGGCTCGAGCGATTCCCCAAACACCGCTACCCACACGTCGTGTCACGGCTGCGTGTTTGAGTGAATCTATCAAAAATCCTCAATCTTCGACTAAAAGTTAAAGGCTATTAACCCAAAGCTTAAAGCGGAAGATTAAGTGACCCCTCGGATCGTGCTACGCACACGTTGTGTCACGATCACACGTCCAAGTGGGTCGGCTAAAATCCTAACAGGGTGGAGTGGCATGACAAGACACTAAAGAAAAAGTAAATGGGGGGTGAAAAGATTAAAACGTATGCTCGTATGCTAGTGCTCGTTTGGAGGGGAGAGATCAAGAACCAATGCGAGGCTCTAGGGTGACACACCCCCCTAAATGCAATGCAAGCGCGAGATAAACAAGTAAACATACATCCAAACAATCAATCATACATACACGAGCGAGGGGGTAGTTTAATGCATATGTGAGACAAAAAGGTCCTAAAAATGGAAGATGCAACCTTAATATCCACATGCCATGCATAACAAGGGTAGAAAAGGGAAAAGAATGGCTAAATCAAATGTTTGGACCCACTTAGGAAGTCCCCAGTGGAGTCGCCAACTGTCGCACCCCACTTTTTGAAAATGGTGTGAATGTAGTGTGTGTAGTGTGTGTGAACGTGTGTAGAAGTGAAAGCAAAGACCGTGGGATTGTAAAATGCGACGGTTTTGGTCAAGTAAAGTTCAAAAGGGTTTTATGTATAAAAAATGGAGTCGCCACTTGGTATAGAGTTAGGGTGTACCAAGTCACCCAAAAATGATTTTTGTTTTTGAATGAAAAAGTAAACAAACCCTTTTTGAAAACTTTTAGGTCTACGTAACCAAAAAAGGGATCGGGGGTCACGTTTGGTAAGGGAGAAGGCAAAGGCGGAGCCTAAGGCACTCCCTTACCCTAGTCAAAGCTAGTTGCTTGACTTAGCCCCACGTTTCCTAATTTTCTACCCAAGGTATGTATCGCATGTTGGATATGACTAGATGAATGCGAAATGGAAAGGAAAATGCAAACCTAAATCTAAATGTCTCTTATGAGATTTTTAGTCCCAATCACATGGGTTTGTGATGGCCAATAGGAAGAATCTCATAGAGGTCATAGGAAAATGCAAATGAAGACTCAAATATGTGCAAGTGTGAAAATGTATGAAGGATGCGAAATGTAAAAAAAAAAAGGTAAGTGCAAGTGTGAAAATGTGATAAAATAAAGGTGTTCATGTGTAAATGGATGAAAAATAGAATAGTAGATACATATAAGTGTAATTTTGAGTGCCATTCGTGAGGTGAGAAATAAATAAGTGATAAAAAGATGTTGAGAAAGTGTGGATTGAGAAAAATGAGAAAATGTGGTTAAAAGGTAAAGAGGTGATATAAAAAAGAATGCAAGTGTATGACCCTAA